GTTGTTTCAGTTTGTACCTCATCTAGCTAAGTTTTAGTTCTCTAAACTAGACGGCTATGCAGTTTCAGTTTACTCGGTCTAGTGATCCTGTTTTTGGATTTCTGCGGCTGTTCTCTAAACTGAATTTGGTTCAGTTAAAAAACTGCACTACCTGACTGTTTAGGGCAGCGAGCTTCTAACTGAAAAACGAGTTTGTTATGCTCATAATTTCAAGTTGGCCTCTACATATGAGTTGTAAAGCATGTTCTAAGGTTTCCGTAGAGTACATATTTGCTTCGTTTGGATGTACGGTTTGAGAGCAGCCGTCTATTTAGTTTGCTGTCCAGAAATATATGCACGGCTTCACTTGATTATATTCCTAACTTTTATGATTTATAACCCGCAGATTTTGGGCTTCATTCGTCAAAAGTTGGTGTACAAGGAACTCCAGGAGAAGAATCCCAACGAAAACCCGCACCCACCGCACCCAACAATGTGTTTAGCACCCACCACGTCGTCGAAGCCGGCCAAGTCGGGTGGAGGCAAGCAGAAGAAGTGGAGCAAGGGCAAGCAAAAGGAGAAGGTGAACAACACGGTGATCTTCGACCAGGCCACCTACGACAAGCTGCTCACCAAGGTGCCCAAGTACAAGCAGATCACGCCCTCTGTCCTGTCCGAGCGACTCAGGGTAACGCACTCCCTCTGGATTTGTTATTCTTACTTGCTTCCTTCCTTCCTATGTGAAGTGACATTTGGGGATGGTAGGATATGTGTGTGATGCATCATGGCTCCTGGTCAAGTACTTTACTGTGATGCTCTGTTTTGGGGTCAGTCTGTACAATTGTAAGAACACACCCATGCGCTAGTGTTATGAATTGATTGGATGTTGGATTCGGCTGCTGCATCAGTTTTTTGTGCAGATTTTGCTTGGTGTGCCATGTTATAGATAGGGTGCAGTGGATTTGATATGGCCATCTGGTCATCATTTATGTCATGTGTCACAGATATTCAACATAGCCATTGATTTGTGGTGTTTCATATAGTTAAATGTGGTTTGATGCTGCTGCTTTACACTTAATTAACATGTCCCTGCTTCTTACTGTCAACAATATGTGCCTGACATGCCTTGTTCATTAGAACTACTGATTGATGTGAGCACCGTGCATTTTCAAGTATGCACAATGTATATTAGTGTGTCATATGTTTGTTTGATTTTTATGGTGCTGCAGATCAACGGGTCGCTGGCTCGCAGGGCCATCAAGGACCTAACGGGGAGGGGACTCATCAGGATGGTGTCAATCTAGTCTAGCCAGCAGATCTTCACCAGGGCGACAAACACTGCCACCAGTCATGTTAATATTCAGCTGTATTTTATAGTTGAATAGCTGTTTGTACTACCCAAATAGAGAAGACGTGTTTGGCTATTGAATACCTGATTGTAAAGTACTTTGTTTGGCTATTGTTTGAAATTTTATGTGTTATTGGCTCTGTTTGAATCAAGTTATTGGTTGTTGCCCAAATAGAGAAGACGTGGGTCCTTTAAAATGAAAAAAAAACTGACAAGTGGGACCTAATTAGATGACCTGACTAGTGGGACCTGGTCCAAAATGGATTGTAAAAAGGCTGAGGCCCAAATAAGAAATCGAAGCAAAAAGGCCAAAGGCCTAGAAAATAAAAGGCTGAATTGTTGGGCCTGGCCCATGTAGCTGACCAAAATGAACAGGGAAAAAATACATTAAAAGGCTGAATTAATGGGCTCGGCCCATATAAACACCCAATTGGACCGGGCTGAATCTTGTGCCACATCAGCTTGCCACGCTGGATGCCTACGTGGCCTGGGGGAGGTTGCTAGTGACCAAAACGCCACAGTAGGAATATTTTGGTCGTAAACGTCTTTGACCATTCCAGAAGAAAGGTCGCTATAGTCAGTTTACGATGGCCAGCTTTTGACCTTCTGTTTTTGGTCACAAAAAGGTCATAAATGGAAATTTGTGACCTTTCAGTGACCAATAGTGGTGGTCATAAGTTGACATATTTCTTGTAGTACTTGTTCATCCAGCCTCCACTGGCTACTGTTCAACCAGCCCTCCACGGGGCCCTGTTCAACCAGCCCTCCACGTACGGGGTGCCTCCATCGGCTACTGTTCATCCACCCCCACCTCCTCGATCGGGGTCCTGTTCATCCAACGGCAACGACCTCTACTACCGCGGGATCCTGTTCATGCAAACCCCACCGGGAACTGTTCATCAAGAGGCATCTTCAATCGGCTTCAGTTAGCAGCAGTAGCGAAGGAATCACTCGGGTTAAGTTAACAGCAAGGGATCGATCAAGGTTCAGTAACGTAGCTAGTGCAATCGCTCGGGTCCAGTTAGAGCCAACGCCTCGCTCGGGTTTAGTTAGAGTGCAACGCCTCGCACACACGCACGTACGTGTATGAAAAAAACGCGCAAACCTCCGTGCATCTCTCGACCCCGACCACCCACCGTAACCGGGAAGTCCCCAAAATTTTCCTCGCCCTCGCTTCTACCATGATTTTTTCCGTTATGGACGGCTCAAAGAATGTTATGCTGGTGTGTCTCCGGCCCACCCAGGATGAAAATCCATTTTCTATCATGGTTTTTTGTCATAGAATTAGGAGCCCACCACATCTATGATGACACCGGGTTTTGTCACAATTATCGTCGTAGAAGTGTCATAAGCATGACAGATTTTTTTTCCGTTCAGCCCAAAATGTCAAGCATGTGTCTTTTTTTTTGTAGTGCTACCCATGAGAAGTACAAGTACGTGACCACATGACGTACATTACGTTGTTGCACCAGGTACAAAGTTGTTTTCACTGAAAATATAGATTGTGCCCGGGGAAAACCTATTAGCATATGATATAATTTTGAAGATACCAACATGACAAACACATGTGTGAAAAAATTTTTGTAATCTGGACGCTCAATTTATTTCTTGGGAAAGAACACTAAAACTCTCTAATGGCGACAAACATGCAGATGGATTACACCTTATGTCGTAACTAAGAGCCACTTAGAATATCATTCTCAAGATGTACTCCTAACTAGTTTTCCTTTTTGAGAACCAATAAGTGGTTAGACGGTTAGGGCATGTACAATGGTGCTATCTTAGGAGTGCCATGTAGGATAAATGATGAGGTGGAGGAGAGAGAACTCATAAGAAAAGGCTTGTCTTCTCTAGAGATGATCTCTTAGCACAATATGTCTCACCATGTTTTTAGAAATTGCTAGTTATTGAAGATAAGACTAAGAGATGACCCATTGTAGACTCTTTTTTTGTCATCTCTAAATTACATGCAAAACTTAAGATAAGACTATCTTATCAACCATTGTATATACCCTTAGGTGGGCAGTGGTAGCCCTAACTCGCCAGAGTTCAAACCCCAAGTTTAACGCTTTGGTGTGGAGGGCGACATTTTCGTCGATAGTGAGTTGCCTGTGGTGACCTGTCTTTAGTAGACGATGTGTGCGTATGTGCCTATATTGTATGGAGACAGAGGAAGGGTTGTGGCAAGATGTGATCAAAAGAAAATATGGGAGGGGATAGATGCTTATCCAGGGCACAAAAGAAACATGGAGATTCTCAATTTTAGTCTAGCCCGATAAAGATTAAATAAACATTTTATAAATTATTTAGAAAGGAATTGGGAAATGGACTTTGAGTGCTGATGGTAAATTCACAGTTAAATCATTGTATAGGAAGCTGGTGGCTGATGAACTCAGGTTCCCACAGAAATTTTTGTGGAAAATCAAAGTTCCAGCCAAAATTAAAGTTTTTCTCTGGTTAAGCATAAAAAAACATTCTTACACGAGACTCATTATTGAAGAGAGGATGGAAAGGGGAAAAACTGTGTATTTTGTGGGAAAGATGAATCAGTAGATCATTTTTTTACCTGTTCAGCTGCTTCTCTGATTTGGAGTTTAATCAAATGTGCATTTGGGTTGAAAAAACACCTTTGTCTATTCATGAGTGCTTTGGGTCTTGGCTGGATTCTTTCAAAAAAGATGATAAAAAACTGGTGTTGGTGGGGGTGTCCATAGTGTGCTCGGCTTTATGGAAATCCAGAAATGAGGTTATCTTTGAAAAGAAAAGAATATCTGACCCTATGACTATAATCAAAACTATGACACATTGAATGGTGGATTGGTCTATTTTGCAGATAAAAGAGCAAAAAAAGGTGCTGGAGCAGGGGGAAAGAGTGCTAGAACGGGTAGCAAGTGAAGTCTATGCGGCCTCTCAAGGGTGGAGAGTCAACGTGGCGCAGCTGAAATGATGAAAACTCTTCCTAGAGAACGACTAGACTGCTTCCTCTACACGTGTCTTTGTTTTTCTTTGCCATGTCTTTTGCTGAGTTGAGGCCTTTAGCCTGGATGAATGTAATAAATCCTTTATGTCTAAAACCTAGGGTTGCTAAGACTTGATGCTGTTACTAGGTTG